AGAGGGTATCTGGATACCTTAAGGGGTGCTTCATTTTAAAAGAATTTTCCTTTTTTTTAAATTTTATTGTTGTTAGAAATATACACAGCAAAACATACACCAGTTCAACAATTTCTATATGTACAATTCAGTGACATTGACTACGTTCTTCAAGTTGTGCAACCATTCTCACCCTCCTTTTCCAAATTGTTCCTCCCCCATTAACATACTCACTGCCCCCTAAGCTTAGTGTCTGATCTTAGGAGTTGCTGTTGTCAGTTTGATCCCATATAGATAGTTCTTTAAAAGAGCACATTGCTCAAGGCAAATATTCTTTACTAATTAAACTATTGTTTGGTTTGTTGTGGTTCAATCCCCTGCTGAGAATTTGCATTTCTAACAAGTTTCCTGCTGAGAATTTGCATTTCCACCCCAGATATACTGAATCAGAATCTGTATTTTAACAAGATCCCCAAGAGATTCTTACGAATAACTTCCTGGGAACTTGTTAGAAATGCAAATTATCGGCAGGGAATTTGTTAGAAATGCAAATTCTCAGCAGGATTTTGAACCAAAGAACCTAGTTCTAATCCCTGATTTAAAGATGACTTCAGGGGTTATTTTTGGTTTAAGGTTTAAGGTTAAATATTATCTCAGTGCAATAGTTTTAGGGGGTTAATCCAGCCTCAATGGCTCCAGAAAGCCTGGATTTCATGAAAATTTTAAATTCTATTCTGTATTTTCCCCCTTTTGATCAAGATGCTTCTGTAGGTCCTTTGATCAGAATTTTCAGTAATAGTTGCCAAGCACCATCCAGTTCTACTGAGCACTTTCTCTTTTGTCCTCTCCCTGTTAGACTTTTCCCTTCCTTGGCATGTATAGAATGTTAATTCTGATCATTAAGTGAATGAATGATAAACTAATGCCCCTTTCTCTTGCTTTCTCTCTTACAATTTTTCACTTTCTTAAATTAATTCTGTTTTGCAGGAACCATGTTTTTGGGTTTAAGTATTTAGTGTTCTTTTGAGGAAAAAAAAAGTGAAATTTTTTAAATGACGTGATTTCTTACTTAATGCTCTGTTTCACACAATGTTTAATATTCATATTTCCTGGGATAATGTTTCTGTTATGCACAATGCCTGGAAACAACAATCATAGTTTCTGTGTTTGTAACTTTTACATTTTAATTTCCTATTAAATTCAAAGTTCTCTTGAATTAAATCAGATTCTCCATAGACATTAATTATTCTTTAGGGCAATGCCTATCCCTAGGGAAATAATAATGGTATTGTTTCAAACAGGATTAAATTATCTCTCAACTCTGAGAAAGTGGGAGGAAAAACAAAGGAAAGCTTTTTTTACAGAACACCAGCTAATAAATATAGAAAGAAGCAAAGAATTAGAACATCACCATTTTGTAATCCCCATGTAACAGATGATTCAGGGAAAGTAAGATTCATTAATGGATGCTAAATCCATGAAATAAAAGGTCACTGGGTGGGTTAATTACATATTACTGTGTAACAAATTGCCTCAACATTTGGCAGCTAAAAACAACATTAATTCACACGAGGGTCAGGCATCTGGGAGCAGCTTAGCTGGGTGCCTGTTTTGTTCAAGGTCTTTCCTACAATCACAGTTAAGCTGTTGCCGAGGGCTGCAGTTTTCTTAAGACATGACTAGGGCTGATTGACTTCCAAAGTCAGTCATGAGGTTGTTGGTAGGCTTCAGTACCTAGAAAGGGCTGTTGGACCAAAGGCCTCAGTTTTATCACACTATGCTGGCCATTCCATAGGGCTACTCACAACATCTAGCTTGCTTCTCTCTCCCAGTGAAAATGGTCTCCAAGAAGAGAAAAGAGATGGAGCCAGAAGCCACAGTCTTTTCATAACCTAATATCAGAAGTAACATCCCACCACTTCTATATTCTATTAGCTGGAAGGGAGTAAGTCAAGTGCACATTCAAGGGGAGATTACACAAGTGCATTAATGCCAGGAACAGGAATGATTGGGGTCATCTCAGAAGCTACCTATCACATTGAGGCATAAAATTATCCCACAGATTACATACTAATTAGTGAGGAGAAAATGTACCATTACAATGCAGTTATGTTAGTGATCAAACGTAATATCATTAGTAATGGGATTTCCTGATGTGTTTCCAGATGCGATACAATACAAAGTGTACAGCGTCACCTATGAAATAGTCTTGCCAAATGTTTAACCTAAATTTAATTAATCTTTAGATTTAACTTTAGTTTATAGCACACTGAAGGAATGGATGAAAGTTACCAATACCAAGAGGCAGCAGCCAGACAAATCCAGAATGTAGGCCATTCTACAAAACAACTTTGCTGGACTCTTTAAAAAGTCGATGTCACATGGGAAAAAAGGTAGGGAGCTAATCTGGAAACTGAAGAGACAACCAAATGCAATGTGTGAATCTTGACTGGTCTTGGATTGGACAAAACAAACAACAGTTAAAAAAGGTATTTTGGGAACAACTGAAGAAATTTTAATATGAAATAGCCTTTTAATATTATGTAATTGCAAATTTTATTAGGTACAATAAGGGAATTATGATGTTCTAGGTGAATGTCCTTATTCTTAGGAGATGCACGCTGAAATATTTTGGAGTAAACTTTCATGAGGCCTGTAACTAACTTTTAAATGGACCAACAACCATCTATGAAATAAAAAACAAATCTTGATTTAGTAAAACTTGTTGCCATCAAGTTGATTCTGACTCATAGTGACCCGATAAGGCAGAGTAGAATTGTGCCACAGGGTTTCCAAGGAGCTACTGGTGGATTCAAACTGCTGACCTTTTGGTTAGCAGCCAAACTCTTAACCACTGTCATGGATTGAATTACGTCCCCTAAAAAATGTGTGTATCAGTTTGGCTGGGCCATGATTCCCAGTATTGTGTGATTTTCCTGTATGTTGTAAATCCTGCCTCTATGATGTTAATGAGGGAGGATGGGTGGTAGTTGTTAGTGAGGCAGGACACAATCTACAAGATTGGATTGTGTCCTGAGGCAATCTCTTGAGATCTGAAAGAGAGAAGTGACCAGAGAGACAGAGGGACCTCATACCACTGACAAAGCAGTACCAGGAGCAGAGCGTGTCCTTTGGACCCAGGGTTCCTTAGCCGAGAAGCTCCTAGCCCGGGGGAACATTGATGAGAAGGCCAACAAAGAAAACCTTCCCCTGGAGCTGACACACTGAATTTGGACTTTTAGCCTGCTTTACTGTAAGGAAATAAACTTCTCTTTGTTAAAACCATCCATTTGTGGTATTTCTGTTAAGCAGCACTAGATAACTAAGACAACCACTATGCCACCAGGGATTCCCGATTTAGTAAGGAGAGACTATATTCAAAAGGATTACTGCAGAGGGCAGGGAGAAAGAGACTATTGCAACTGGGAGAACCCTCTGACCATGAGATCAGCAAGCATCTCAAAATTAGGCAAAAGGACCAGGTGTGGGGAAGTGGGATGAAACAGCAGCGTGATATGATAGTAGATGGGAATATTTTACATTGTGGCCAGCCTATTCTCAGGTGGGGTCCTTAAGCAGGGATAGCATGTTGGCTCAGGCTGAGGGTGGGCTGTTCGGGGGCCTGGGGAAGGAGAGAAGCCTAACCGAAGTTTAGTTATCAAGCATTTTGTTCAGATTGACTGGCCAGGACAAGCAATTCAGCTAATCCTTTATGAGGCAAAGACCTCCTCACAGGTAAACAAGGGGGAATCTGTGAGTCTTCTCTAACTCATATGGGGAAAGGTGGTTCTTTCTTTTTTCCCATACAAAAATTTATACATAGTTATGTGACCCTAATTGCTCTCCCCATACTGTGACAGCACACTCCTCCTTTTCACCCAATTCCCCATGTCCATTCAACCAGCTCCTGACCCTCTCTGCCTTCCCATCTCACCTCTGGACAGAAGCTGCCCATTTAGTCTTTTATCTACTTGAGCTACTTCTCACGAGTATCAATTTATGTCCCACAGTCCAGTCCAATCCCTGTCTGAAGAGTTGGCCTTGGAAATTGTTTTAGTTCTGGGCTGATAGAGAACCCAGGGGCCATGCTTTCCGGAGTTCCTCCAGTCTCAGT